GTCAGTGTTATGATTTTTTTTTATTATGAAATTAAGACTGACCTAAAGGAAAATGCTATAGCTGCAGTAAGCTTCAATGAACAATATGAATGAGAACAAACATATGTCTACATTGCTAAGGGTGTAGTGCAGTGATACCAAAGTCCCTATAAAGTCTTTGGTGATACAAAGAACCGTTGGGTGAAGCGGTTGTAGCCGTGTTTAACATGAATAAAACACAGCTGTTGACCAATCAGAATCATGGACCGGAACTAACCATTTCATAAGAATGAATGTTTATGTGTCAATAAAATCCTAAATTAAATAAATTTTAAGCTTCCAACTTTTGGGTTAATATAGACTTTCAATGGATGGAAATCTTTCAGATTTCAATAAAAATCTCCTAATTAGTGTCTCAAAGATGAACGAATGCCTTATGGATTTATAAGTGTTAAGTGATAACAGAATTTTCATTTTTGGGTGAACTAACCCTTTAATGCTCTAAATATTTAAGACTTTGTGTTTATATTTCATGTCATAAAATAGCTTCTGTACCTACTCATAATGTTTTTTTTTTGTTTTTTTTTAGATGGAGAATTGTGATCCATGGGGGGATAGATGGGTACAGTAGGAAAATCATGTACCTGCATGCAAGTGACAACAATAGAGCCTTGACTGTTCTATCTTCATTTGTTGGTGCTGTGCAACTCTTTGGGGTACCTAAAAGAGTGCGTAGTGATAAAGGTGGAGAGAATGTTGAGGTGGCACGCTTTATGCTTGAGCATCCAGATAGAGGAACAGGTATTTCTTGGATAATGTAATTTTAGCAGTTTTAGCACTTGTTTTTTTCTGTAAATACATACTGTATATAAAATAATATTAAAAGACAGCCCTATTTCATAATTGCTTATTTTTTTCTCTTGTTTAGAAAGTTTCATCACTGGACGCAGCGTGCATAATCAGCGAATTGAAAGACTTTGGAGAGATGTTTGGTGTGCTGTGACAGTCAACTATCACTCTGCACTCCAACATCTCTCCAGCACCGGTGCTCTCAATCCTGATAATGAACTTGATATCATTTGTCTTCATTATGTGATGCTCCCAAGAATCAATATGCATCTCCAGCTCTTCAAGCAAGCATGGGATCGGCATCCAATTTCCACAGAGCATGGGAGGTCACCACAGCAGTTATGGATTGAAGGGCAGTTACGGAACAGCGATCAAATTTGTGACCCACTGTCTGAGCAGGTCTGTTAATGAAGCTATCTTAAAATGTCAAATGTACAGTAATGCTTTTGTGATAATATTCAACAGGCAAATTACAATACAATAAAAAATAATCCCGTAAAATAACACAAAACATCTAGCAGTATGATACTATAAAATTACCATGCAAGTTAACTTAAATTTGAGGAAACCAATAGCCTTAAACCATTAAAGTTCAAAAAAGTAATATTTGAGCTGTATTAGTTATGTGAGTAGACTATATATTATGACTGACATTATTTCATTTGAGTCCACTAAACAAAGAATATTTATTAATATAAATTGAAACTAAACACTTTATAAACACTGCTAAAATACTTTATCAGATTCTGAAACTCAACTGAAATAGGTGAAATAATTATTTTCACTGCCATTCAAAAGTTTGGGATCGGTAAGATCTTTTTTTTTTTTTTTGAGTCTTGTATGCTCACCATGCAAGGCTGAATTAATTTAATGCAAAAATACAGTAAAATCTGTAAATTATGAAATATAACAGTTAAAAATAACATTTTTATTTGAATATATTTTAAAATGTAATTTATTCTTGCAGGGATGTGATTCTTTAAAATCGAGAAATGGATGTAAACAATTACTAAATAAACTGCAAGATGTTAGGTTTCTATGCGTTTTCTTGAACGACTGCTTCTGACCCAAGTACACCTGGCTGCAACCTGCAGAATAGGCGGGGGCTGCACTCTTGCTCCACCCCATACTTGCTCTGATTGGCTCGGCCGTCTTTCATAGGCATGAATGATTAGAAAAATAATTCGTAGTTGGTGTAGGACGGAGTCTATGTCGTTCAAATCTATATGAACTGGAAGAGCTGTGCAGGTTCACAAACCTTTTATTTTAGTGCACAGAAGAAGAAAAAAAACATTAGCATGTTTCTCGCAATGTCCCTGAAATTATTGTTATGCTAAATTAAGCAGTTTTTTTAGGCAAACGCACGAACAAACCCAAAACATTGAAACAAAAATGTATTGGTTGATACCCCCTCGGTAGAAATCGCTTTCCATGGGGCATCATGATATGACCGAAAAGGGCATTTCTGCTTTCACGATTAATAAACTCTAATCATGCTTACACACACATTTTGTTGTAGATATAGATAGTTGAAATAAATTTGAGGTAATAAAATCCTTAGTGCAAGTCATGAATTTTATCAGTGTGATTGTAAATGTTATAATAGTGATTTTATAATTTGTAAACATGAATTATAGAACAATATTAGTGAATAGTATGACAAAATTACTATTATAACCACTAGATGGAAAATTACATCATAGGGTACATTCAAATCATCTTGAGCTAAGAAATCGGAAGAAAAAACGGTTCAAAAGTTATTTACATCAATGTAAGTGAAACTTTGGACAGTTGGTGGCGCTAGAGGGATTGACTTATAGACTCCGAATTTGCTGTGAATGTTTGGACTGTCCTCTATCTGTGTGCCAAATTTCACAATTTACCATACGGTTCTATGGGCTTACAGAGTAGGGCTGAAACGATTTGTCTACAAAAAATTCTCTTGTCGAATAGTCCAGTGGTTTTCAAACCTGTTCCCGAGTACAACCACTGCACATTTTGTATGTCTCCCTCATCTGACACACCTGATTCAACTTTTCAGTTCATTAGTAGAGACTGCAAGACTTGAATTGGGTGTCAGATGAGGGAGACATACAAAATGTGCAGTGGTGGTGGTACTCCAGGACAGGTTTGAGAATCACTGGAATAGTTGTTTGATCTCATATGACCTAATGTAAGGGCCTGCAATAACGCGGTTTGACCAGTGTGGTGCTGTAGCGCAAGACTGTAATTTAGCGGTCCCGGATGCAATACATAAGAAGACGCTTACTAGACAGGGTTCTACAGTGCGACCATTTCAGTGGCATTTGCGACTTAAAATTACTGCGTGCAAATGTGAAAAAGTATTTTGGAGTACCAGTGCGACTGACCCGATCAGGCCCGGTTTGCTAGAGGGTGCAAACAGGCCAAACAGATTTTGCAAACGCGCCAGTGCGTATTTGTGTTTTCTGTCTGTAGAGCGTGGAGAGAGACTGTGTTGTTGCAGTGTTGAGCAGTGTAGCCAATCACGGATGTTTTCTTGAACCCAATGGCCGATCAGAGGCGTTTAAGTTACACCGTTCAAAACGCTGGAGTTTGTTCAGTGCTGAATTATGCAAGCTTGCGAATCCTCTCATTCTATGGGCTTACAGAGTAGGGCTGAAACGATTTGTCTACAAAAAATTCTCTTGTCGAATAGTCCAGTGGTTTTCAAACCTGTTCCCGAGTACAACCACTGCACATTTTGTATGTCTCCCTCATCTGACACACCTGATTCAACTTTTCAGTTCATTAGTAGAGACTGCAAGACTTGAATTGGGTGTCAGATGAGGGAGACATACAAAATGTGCAGTGGTGGTGGTACTCCAGGACAGGTTTGAGAATCACTGGAATAGTTGTTTGATCTCATATGACCTAATGTAAGGGCCTGCAATAACGCGGTTTGACCAGTGTGGTGCTGTAGCGCAAGACTGTAATTTAGCGGTCCCGGATGCAATACATAAGAAGACGCTTACTAGACAGGGTTCTACAGTGCGACCATTTCAGTGGCATTTGCGACTTAAAATTACTGCGTGCAAATGTGAAAAAGTATTTTGGAGTACCAGTGCGACTGACCCGATCAGGCCCGGTTTGCTAGAGGGTGCAAACAGGCCAAACAGATTTTGCAAACGCGCCAGTGCGTATTTGTGTTTTCTGTCTGTAGAGCGTGGAGAGAGACTGTGTTGTTGCAGTGTTGAGCAGTGTAGCCAATCACGGATGTTTTCTTGAACCCAATGGCCGATCAGAGGCGTTTAAGTTACACCGTTCAAAACGCTGGAGTTTGTTCAGTGCTGAGTTATGCAAGCTTGCGAATCCTCTCATAAAAAAAACAAAGTAAAGACACGATGTAAATAAGACATTCATAGTGCTGTATAGACAACTTCATTAATTATAACGGAAGTTTGTGAGATCGCGATGAACTGAGACAAGTGACAGCTTTTTTTTAATGATTATAAAGGGAGTTTGCAAAATGTAATTTTGCTTTTATACAACAATTCAATAAACATGAAGTTAATATTAAATTACTTACATTTTAGGAACAGTATTGTCAGATTTGGTCTATTTCGTCAACGAACATAGTTCCAAACAAACTCACAGCTGAACTGCCGTGCATCTCCGAGCAAACACAGTTGTTTCGTTTATGCAGTGAGTCAATTCAATGACCCAAGTTCAAGTTCAAGTTTATTTCTAAAGCACATTTAAAAACAGCTAAAAGCCGACCAAAGTGCTGTACACTCAATAGCACAAATACAATAAGTAAAATATTAATAGCATAATGTCAAATACACATAACATGACTATAACGAAATCAATTAATAAACAGGCCTACAAAAGATTCTAATCGAGAGATAAGAATCTCGTGATCAACAGTATCAAAAGCTGAAGATAGGTCCAGCATTACTAAAATGATGGAATCTCCAGAATCTGTAGCCAATAAAATGTCATTAAGAACTTTTATAAGAGCTGTTTCAGTACTGTGCAAAGATTTGAACCCAGACTGGAATGTCTCATAAATCTGATTATTTGTTAAAACGGACTGAAGCTGTAAACACAAAATTTTTTCCATCACCTTAGAAATAAACGGTAATACAGATATTGGCCGAAAATTGGATAAAACAGTAGTGTCAAGTGAAGGTTTTTTTTAGGATAGGAGAGACTGTGGCCATTTTCAGACTGTCTGGTATAAATCCAGATGACAAACATTTATTCAACAATGACACAAGCTCTGGTCCCACTGTGTCAATTGATGATTCAATGATTCAGTGACCCAGTCATATATAGACAGTCGCTTGCTTTGTTCCTGAATGAATCAGCCGTTTGAACGAATCGATTGAATGAATGATTCAGTGATAAAGGGGCGGCAGTGACTTGCCGCCCCCTACTGGCGATTTTAGTTTAATTTTTAAAGTATCATTTCAGTTATTTCAATCATTTAATACTTCTATTTAAAACATCAATCTCATAACATGGTTATCATGAATTTAAATGCATTCATGCCACTTCTGAGCCTCATTAAACAGTCTGTAAATATACCTAAATGCCACCTTTTTGTTCTTCTGGCTAGGGGTGGGCACTATACCAGTATGAAAGTGACTACCGGTATTATGTTGTTCCATGATATGTATTTTGCTATACCGTGGATACCGTTATATATTCATGAATTCAAATTTTGCATTTATATAGTTTTGTTCAATTTGGTACACTTTGCACATTTTAAAGATATACAGTAAATAAATCAGTAAATCCACTGCTCTCTTGTCTCCTCTGAGGTTGGGACTGTAAATAGTGTTCTGTGCTCATCTGTGTAGCCAAAGACAGAACAGTTAGCATGTTTTGCTCAAACATTCGCCATGGCATTACAGCTGGTTCACCGTTGTCGCTTGCGAAATCAAAATGGCGGTGCCTTGAGTGGAAGTTTACAGATTAAGGGGCGGTAATATTATAATGAGATCCCTTTGCCACGTCACCAAGGGAGCGAAATCAGACGCGCTGCCGTACTACACAGGCATTAGTAATCAAACACATAGAGCATTGTAACAGACCAAATGAATAGAGCACAAATCTCCTGCTCCAGTGGTTCCCAAACTGAGGGATAGTGTACAGTGAGAAGAGTGCAAAATAAACCTCTGCAGGGTGATAAAGACTACACTGTATAACTTTCCCGCTTATCATGCGGCCACTTGCCTGATAAGTAAATAATTGAGTGCAAAATATTAATTTGACATATTTTAATTACCTCAACATGACTCGCAGTCAGTGGCGGC